TAGGAGCTGCTATTAGAGATGGCCTCCAGTCTCTTTCATCTGCTTTGGAGCTTGTGGCTTCTTGGTAGACTCCAGGCACATGGTCATAGTTTAAAATGCAACAATGGATGAGTAACAGACTTCCTTGTGCTTATAGGCTAAATGGCTTATTTTTTCACTTTTGACCTTGTAAACTAAATATATTTAATATTAAAACATTTGTGAACAGCTAGGGCAAGGTCTGACGGCATTATCAAGCCTTTCTTTCAGTTTATAATTTAAAAATAACACAAAACCATCTAAAATTGACAAATGTTCTGATGAGGAATTAGTCAGCACGTTGGAAATTCTATCTCCTTAAAATTCAAATCTCCTCAGTCTTGGCTTCCATCCCTCGACTTTATTTCTTCATAATGCAGTAGCCGAAAGCAGCCAAGAGAGGGGGTTGGTTGGCCACCACAAGCCTTGTTAGGGGAGTGAGGTTCACACAGTGAGAACTGTCTTGAGCTGCAGCTCTCAACTGTCGGTCTTAAAACTGGGTTAACTAGTTACTGAGGTACATCACCTCATGTGCAACTAACTTCTTTCCTTCACTGGCCTCTGCCGAGGCTTGAGTAAAGGTGAAGTTTAAATATCACCTGGTAATGTTTGGATGTCACAGCTCTCATTTAAGTGAGTAATGTTAAAAAAATGTGTGCAGATAAAACAAACTATGAAATATTATATGTTGTAAACTTTCTCAAACATGTTGCATAATATAATTCATGATGTCTGTGTTATTTGTCATATGTTAACTGCATTTTTTATTTATTTTATTTATTTTTTTTGCACAAAAGACTGATATACGCTTGCTTTTGGAACACATTTCATTCTTTTTGATCATTGGCCTCTAATGTATTTAATCAAATCTCTATGACATTTTTGCCGTTCCTCTCCAAAATGATCTGAGAGAATTATCCCTTATCAGTCCCTCCATAACCAGATTAGTGAACAGCCAGCTGAATAATCAGAATAGCACGGGCGTCAGGCAAAGACCACTGTCTCCACACCACTGAGGATTTGTGGGATTTGGAGTCTAGGACAGGAAAGGCTCCTAATGGTGAGAGCTTTTTCAACCCAGATAAGACTTCAAAGGCGGAGCTAATTAATAAGATGTTTACATTATTCACGGTCATACACTGCATTCTGAATGACCCTTCATTACGGCACGAGTCTGTGTGTGTGCACGTTCATTCGTGTGCAAGCTCTGTCATTCTGTCCCGGTGTCGTGCTAATTGGATGGGTAGTGGTTTTTAAGTGAAACATTTTTATTCAGTAATAAATAAGGAAAAGGGGGTTGTTTTGGAGTGAAGGGAAGGAGAGCTGCATAAATATATACTCTGGAAATTAATTGACAAAGTACAAGGGTAAAGTATTAATGTGTGGTGTCATTTGTGCTTTAAATATAGTGATCCCAAATGACAGCTGTAATTAAATCATTTATATCTGAATGTTGCACCAATCCCCTCATGTTTTTTTTTTTAAATTTATTTTAAAAATATGACATTTAAGGAGTCTCCCTCTTTCTTCTTTCTCCCCCATCATTACCCCTTTAACCCTGCCACCGCCTCCTGCCTGCAGCCCAGCCCAGTCCCAAGCCCCATTCTGGGAGGAAAACCCAATGCCAGCCAGTCCCTGCTGGCCTGGTGCCGCGAGGTCACGAAGAACTACCGTGGGGTGAAGATCACCAACTTCACCACGTCCTGGAGGAACGGGCTGGCCTTCTGCGCTCTGCTGCACCATTTCAGACCCGATTTGATGTACGAACCACAAACGCACAGATCACATTAAATTCACACTCATTCTAAACTTAATAACTAACTCAAGTTAGGTCATATGTTCTAGTTATACCTAATGTTATACCTAATCTTTTTTCAACTTGTAGGGGTGCAACAATACTCCCAGACTACTTTTTCCCCCTTTTGGGGAAAAAAAATCCCAATGTAGAAAAGACGACATTAAAGCCCATTTGTCATATGTATTTTCAGTTAAAAATTGACTTCTGCATAGACATAGGTTTCCCACTGAGGTCTAAATCATCAGTCAAGCATCAGACCCATAAGATAGAAATATATAATTTCTTTTAGCTCGTATCCTCCTTTAGCATCTACTTTTTATCTTTGTGTGGTTTCTAATGAAAACTGGAACCAGACAGATGCAATGAGGAACGATAAAGTAAATGTTGCAGACTGTATAACAAAGAAAATTGTTGAAAGAAACTGAGCAGAAAATAGGGAAAGTTGAGTAAGATGCCGAAACTGACATGAACTATATCCAAATCAAGCTGCTTCAAAGACTCCACCGTTAGCTGATGGTGTGTTTGTATCGTGATTTCGGTCTCGGTTTCAGAATTCTTGAACCCCTAATCCCTCGCTATTATATTTGCACAGTTAACCTGTAGTGTGCCCGTGTTTGATTAATGTGATTCATTCATACAAACACTCAATCTGTCATTTCCACAGTCAAAAACTGTTGTATGTTTGCTTCCGACACTAATCGTGTTGTTCTTGTGTGTGCGATTATAATTCTTTGAAGTATTTTGTGTGTGTGTGTGTGTGTGTGTGTGTGTGTGTGTGTGTCTGTGTGTGACACTCAAAAGAACATTATATGGAAAACCTGCAGTCCCATCAAGGAGGCAGACATGAAGATAATTTTGTGTACACGTGTGTGTGTTTGTGCTTGTGTGCCTTTCCTCTCCGGTGTGTTATTTTTACATATTTTCCACTCTATTAGTTCTGTTGATTGCACTGCTATGAAATTGCATGTTACAGTTCTAATACCATTACATGTGACGCATATTTAAACACACCTTTTTCTCCACTATGTCTCTCTGTCTACCATTTTTTTTCTCTCTCTTTCTCTGCTCACCTCCTCTCCAACCCTCCCCACTGTTCTTTCAGAGACTACAAGTCGCTCAATCCTCAGGATATTAAAGAAAACAACAAAAAGGTAAGAGGCAGCCACCGCTGGGCCCTTCACACCACTTAGCTCCCTCCCATCCACATCTCCATTTGGCCTTATTTAGAGATCTGCCATTAATCCATGGATATTGTGTTTATATGGTTTGAACGGGATTGGTAGACACACATAGGAAGACAGTCAAATGCATGTACACACACAAATGACAGTTTTCATAAGATGTTCCCCCCCTGCTGTGATGTGTGTGTGACTTAGTCACCTGGCAGAGATGAGAAAGTGTGTTCAGCTCAGCAGCATGCTGGGAGCTTACTAAACTACTTTAGCAACTTGTGTGTTTTTAATAAGAGAACATTTGTCTTGTGTTGCTTAGAGCAGTGGCTTTAAATGGTATAAACAGGGATTTGGTGTCAGCCATACACTTTTGTTTTCAGTGGTTCAAAATTAATGGGACAAACTAACAATTACATGTAAAGACTTTTTTAAATACTTGGATGAAAAAAACAAAACAATGTCTCCCTGAAATGTAAAACCGGGGTGTAGCACTATGGACATCAGCGAATGTTGTGTTTACTCCCTCGAGTTGCTCCCCCAGATCTTTACTGCAGCTGCCTGTAGGTACGTGTTTGTGGGTATTTCTGCATTCAGGTTTTTACTTAATAATCGAAAAGCAATCGAAAAGCATGCTCTCTTGGGTTTTAAATCAGATGACTGAGTCAGTTATTGAAGACTATCCCATTTCTATCCCATTGCTTTTGCAGTATGCTTTGAGTTATTATCCATTTGCGTGGTGAAGCGCTACCTGGTCAGTTTTGCAGCATTTGGCTGAATCTGAGCAGTGAGCATAGCTCTGTACACTTCACTGTTAGTTTTTCTTTAGTTTAGTCTGCTGTGGTCTTTCAGGCCTTTTGTTGATGCTGAGCTGGTCGGTGCATTCAATCTTTTTAATAATGCAAAAGATTTTTGATTTGTCCACTTGTAAAGTTTTTGCTGTCTGTCTGAGGGTTATTTGGGTTTTACAGGCTAATGGTTGCTCACTTACAATAATATATCTTAGGATCTCATATTGACAATTAAATAAAAGTTACAGTGAAAACCTTCACAATTCAAATTCAGCACTTTGAATCAACAGCCTGCTTCATTTGTCTTCAAATAACAAGTGAGCAGGTCTCACCTGGCCATGAAATTGTCATCGTCAATGTCAATTATCCCATTAATTTTGAACCTCTGAATATGGGGGATTGTGTATAAATATGGTTGTCACTCTTAAACAGCTGTAAATTTATGTATATTATAAAACTCCCTGAATTAAAGCTCAAAGTCGCACTTTAATCCCATCTTGATTGTCTGATTTCCATCCCATGTTATTTTGTACAGAAGCAAAACTGCAAAATGTATGTGTGAAAAGAAGAGTTTCATTCCTCTCCTCTTCTAACAAATTTTGACCCACACATAAAGCAGATGCACACACCTATTTTTCATTGTTGCCCTATGTCTTCATGTCTGCACATTGACTGTTAAAGGTTTCCTTCCACACAGATCTACATTTTTTTTGCCCGCTGGCTCTTCGCCTCCACATTTACTTCTTCGCACACTGCTGTATTTTTCCCCGCACTTACTACACACACGCTGCACGCACCTGTATTCACACGGCACACCAGCGGTCCCCTTTTCGGCCCCGAGGGCTACACGGAACGATATGCGTCGGGTTCCTGCAGCTTGATTTCCTCTTCTCATACACTCTCTGGCTGAGCGATAACCTCTGGTGGCCCTGTTAGGCATGAATGCTAGCCTGTTGACAATAACCACAGTGGAGGGAGAGGTAGAGACCCAATCCCATATCTGCTAACTGCCCCTCACCCCCCTCCAGGTGCTCAAGTAGCCCTGAAGAAATTGGCTAGATATAAGTAATATAGGAATATGCCGTAGAAGGTGATAGCTGGTGAATAGCTGCAGCACTGTAGCCGGCGTACTCCGACCAGCTTCTCTGTGGAGATCTACACCTGGTGCTCATGTATATTTGGCAATAATGGAGATACAGATAGATATTACCTACCACTTCCTGTTAGTTCTCATGTAGCTCTCAAAAACCTGGGTCTATAATGTATGTATTTTTAGCTGTCATTGTTTCACACAATGCTGAGTGTTATAAGGGGTTAGACTCACGATATTGGCTAAACTAATAGAATGGATGATATCATTTCTGAATGGCCATTTAATATAATGTCTAACACCTTGCTGAATTTATGCTATGAAGAATTAAATCTTTATCCCTTGAAAGCTTACTAGGAGTAAACCTTGAAGCTCTTTTTTTGAACTGAACCGTTTTTGTCATATTTCATGCCTGCTTATAGAACAGAAATGACTGTTTGCATCAGAAATTAAGTGAGGGTAGTCTTTGCCTGTGGAGCAACCTTTGGAAAATCCCAGAAACTCTTCCAATGGTCGTCAAAACACCTTTTCATGGAGATATACTGAGGTGCCAAAACTCATCATTAGACCACGGGGCGGTCGTCAAAAGCGTTGAGGCAGTCTAAACTAGTACCGAGCACCAGTGAACATTTCATCGAGAGATTTGACCCCATCGCTCCTAAATGTCATGCATAGCTTAAAGGGCGGTGATCATATTTACATATTTTGTTTCTTGTCTTTTAGCCTAACATTTCAACAAAATGTGCACTGTTCCTTTGATTTTCACTTACCTTTAGCTCCATGTACAGAGAAAATATCACAAGACTCTGATCAGAAAGATCTTCTGTTAGCTTCATCATTTGTAGAAGTACTCTGGTTGAGGTGCTGCCTGGAATGGAGGAAGACAGGAAGGAGGACATGGGGTGACCGGCTGCTAGCTGCGAATTCACCTGACCTACTTTACTGTGTCATCAGCACAGTGTATTCATACAGATGTTGTTCAGACTTTGTGGTGGGAATCTGGCAGTTTAATGTCTGATCCAAGTGAGCTGAACATTTGTGTTTTCACATGCACAGAGAAAGGTTCAGGGCTTCATGTTCATGGAAGGAAACTGCTTCAGACAGCAGATTCACATTTCAGAACAATGAGAGCAAGGCCCTCAGAAAAACAAAGCACTAAAATATCAAAGATAGCAGCCAGTGAAGTTGGTGGAGTTTTTTTTAATTTAATTTTTCAGTCAATGAAAATACTCTGGTAAGTTTGCTTCCTCCTGGATTGTGCTGAGTCAAATATTGGCATTGCATGCTGCTTTATTTTGGTTGCTATATTAATTTAGCTTCAAAATCCTATCATGAAGAGAAGCTATGAGATGCGGTATCTGGAAGGTGTTGTATCACATCTCCAGCGTTGCTGCACAACTGTAAATGCAAGTGACTGATTGGATGTGGAAGCCAGGTGGTTCAGGAGAGCAGAAAGATTAGTACTGCACTGGGTGGTGTCATATAGCACCCTGAGGGTGTTTGAATAGAGAAAGTTGACCATCATAAAAAGAAAATGCTGACATGACATGAGATACAGTGGAAGAGAGCATAGTGTGGCAGATTAAGGACCCCAAAGCAGGAAAAAAAAATGACAATGGGTGTTTAGAAAGGAGACTTTTTAAGAGGAAATCATAAATGTTTGCAGCTCTGAGTGAAAGAGACTGATGAAAAGAGAAGAACCTGTTCAGTGCTGATTCCTGATGAGTTATTGGAAAGTATAGAATTTATTGAATGGAGAGCGAGAATGGAAATGTAGAGAAACGACGACTATCTCTGCTTTTCATGGGCAGTTGATAGACATGGCCCCCTCCTCTCACTGTCTATCTGTGAAAAGTGATTGCAATGAGCTCAGACTGTGCTGAATTATGACAGATAAGGGCAATCAATATTGGGGGTGGGTAGAAAAAAAGGGGGAGAAAGTGAATAATTCAGAACATCCACAGCCTTTGAAATGATCTGTTTTCAAACAGTATGTGTTTGCATGTTAATTTGTAGAGGATTTGTATGTTTTATGACTTTGGAGCATCGATATGTTTGGACCTTTTGCTTCTGTCTTGTCCTGTGTGTGTGTGTGTGTGTGTGTGTGTGTGTGTGTGTGTGTGTGTGTGTGTGTGTGTGTGTGTGTAATGAGGCCAAGGAGAAGTAATTTGTCATGCCATCTGATAGTGTAGCACCAAGCACCAGGCTAAATCGCCCTGAGCGCAACCATGAGGGGTTGGGCTGAAGGAAGGAGGTGCTGATGATTGACAGCGATAGATAGCTGTCAGTCAATGAGAGGGAGTGGAGGGGGAGCAGGGAGCAGCGGCCTGGGGCAGGCGGTGGTGACATTTAGTCCAGACCCAGAGCTTTGTCGGGAGGTTGATGGAAAGTGAGAAAACTAGATATTCTCCAAAATGTGTGATATATATATATATATATATACACTTTACAGGTAAAGGAAAAGGGTTTTGGTCCTAGATGCTTTCTGTAGTAGTTTAGCTGGTGTACTGTTGGTCAGTTGTACTCGGGGTTTGGCTGTATCTAGTTAAACCTTGTGCAAAAGAGGGATTGCATTTTTTTAAATAAGCTCGCCATTGTCAGTCAACGATGCATATCAAACAACATAATTTAAATGCCATTAAAAAAAATGAGTGAGAGATTATTTTAACCCTTCTACACTTGAAGTTGATTTCACAAACTCGATGAAAGACCACCATGAAGATGGAGCTTGATTCAACACCACCTTCTACTCCATTGCTATGCTACTCTGCTGCATGTAGTACACACAATAGTGAGTGTTATAAACAAAGGGTTGGAGCAACTGTACTGGCTAAACTATATGGGGGAACGTATATCAGCAGGTCTTACTGGTGGGAATCACCAGGCGTTCTATGATATGTTATCACAGGACACAATACAGTATTATTGTGATTTCTTTATTATTTTTTATTTTAGAATATCAGAGTGATTTTAATCAGTCCAAGTCAGACTGTGAGTGTTTCCAGAAAGGTTACCTCCTGTCAGGTGGCCTGTGTGATCAAAAGTGGTCATGAGTGTGCAACACCCTCAAACTCTGGGAAACCATTTAGTTAGCAGAAGTTGCAGTCAGTTACAGAATGAGGAAAAATTCAATACAATCAGGCAACTACCATGTTTTTGTACATACATGGAGGTTGATGTCCTGTATTTACTCATGTGACTGAGCTTGTTCTGAATGAGGAGTTAGCTTTGTCAAGCTAAGTGTATCCAGAGTTCGATGTTTTTTTTTTGGGGGGGGGGGTGGCCTTATCACATAAGTTTGCTCAACTAATATTATTAGGGTTGCAGTACTAGTATGCATTCACATGTATTTGTGGCAGGGCCTAGGAACTTCTCATACATACTTGTTGAATCATATAAAGTGTTTTATTGCATTTTATTTATATTTATATAGCAGAATCTTAACTGTAATACGCATAGTGTATTTATGTAAATGCAGTCATCACACATACAGTGATTATTAACATCTATATATTTTTATAATAACTATATAATATATTCAATTCATTATCCCTCTGCAAATGTGATGTTACGTTCTTTGTTTCCATTTTTTCATGTTTCACTTGTGATGTACATCGCCTGTATGTAATTTAACAGCCACAAAATTTGTATCCAGTAGATTTTGTTCGGCTCAGTACAAAAAACAGAATGGAGAATTTTAAAAAGTGCCAAAGGCCCATAGGAGGGGATTTCGCTCATTAGTAAAAAATAATAATAATAAAGATAATGATATAGTTATAATAAGACTCATTAAAGCTTGATAGTAAATTATTTTATTAAATTTCCTGGGCCAGCCGTATCTCCTCAGCTCTTTTTAAGACCTGTGGTTCTTTCTAAATATAGCCACACTGTTGCACTTGATATTTGCTTTACCTTACAATATAAAGTACCTTAAGGCAACTATTCTTGTGATGTAGCACTATTTATTTGTGCAGCTGGATAGTGTAGTGGTAAAATTACACACCTCTGGAGTGGGGGTCGCAAGTTCAATCCCCACCATGCTAAAAACCAGCCCTGGAGTGGCGCAGCTACGTTTGCAGCCTGTCTGGGTGACATAAAAGTGGCTCAAGCCATCTTTTTTACTCCCTATAACTGTTTCAGCCCACTATGAGTATGCATGATTATGGTTATATTTACTGTTTTTAAAATTTAAAAGCTAAACATGCGTTTTAAAAGTTATTTTAAAAAGTTATTTTCAGCAAGAAATAAGTGAGAGAGAGGTACATTGTTATTTCTGGCATCTCTGTTTTGGTAGTTTTGTTGTATTGCCACTTTAATTTTTTACTTTACTGGAGATGCTGTACTGTGTCACAGACTGCAGGCTACCACCTTTGAACACCATCCTCTTAAAAACAACAGGGCTTTGCTGAGTAGTCATCATTGTCTCAGTACGATACGACCATTACTTTTCAAACTGTAAGAGAAGATATAAGAAGAATAAAGCATGACACTAAGGTCGAAAAGACTGTAGCGCATGTCAAGACTAACATCGACCCTGAAACAAAACCCAGTTCGAGAGCCTCCCCCCGACCTCCTCCTCATGCAGCTCTCACTTTCTCCCACTCTCACGCTTTCCTTTCTCTCATTCTTTCATTCTGTACCTATTGAGCAGCAAAGTTGTCGCTCTCTTTCACAGCCTACCCTGGGCAAGAGGGGAACAATGCAAGCACACTTTGCTCCCCTGAATACGTGTTAGAAACCCAATCAGGCCCTCTTATTCGTCATATTCTTTTCTCTTTTTTCTTTCACAGTCCTGTCAGGGAAAAGGGACGGGGGGGGGGCTCGCAGCAAAGGCAAACCCCTCTCTGTTCTCCCTTTTCTTTTTTCCCGCCGTCTCTTCTTTTTTTCCTGCTTTGTTTTTGTGTACATGCACTCACATGCACCTCATTTTCCTGTGTGAGTATAGTTATTCTACCCATGGTTAGTTTTTTAAAGCAGTAGAAATAAAACAAACAGGTAAGAGTGGAAAAACAGTCCTTCTACCAATTGATTGTAAATTGAGAAATGCCTCAGGTATATGAACTCTACAAAAGCATGCATACATGCCATAGTTACATCGTAAACCATGTACTTTTAACATCTCTTAAAGGAAAACCGGCTGTACAGGAGCATCAAGGAAGTAGCCACTGTGATTTCAATGAGTGATTTGTGATTGCCTCAAGTTAATCCCTTTGTTTTTATTTTTTTGTGTTTTTGACAACCAGAAGTGACCTTTTTTAGACGAACTTGTCTGTAGAAGACACCAAAGACACTGTGAGGTCCACCTGTGTCACCATACCTGTCTGTGAAATTGGTCTTGCCCCTGATAATTCAGACTTTTGGTCTTAATGCAACTGAAACACGCAAGTTATAAAATAAAACAAAAAAACCCTCATCTGCAGTTTTTGTAAAGTGGGAAATTTGCTATAGAAAGACTGCATTGTACCAGGCTGTAAACATGCTTATATCTGTGACTAAAATTAGGCATTTTAACATGGGGGTCTACCTGGCTTTTGGGTCCAGCCTGCTGTTGTCATTAGAGAAACATCAGTTTTTTTCCCGTCCTGGCTTCATTTTTAGCCCCTGCGGTTGCAGCTTGGTTAGAATCCACTTTTTCCCTCTTATAAAAACACCTCAGTATATATAGGACGTGGTTTGACAGACTTGAGAGCAATTTCTGAGTTGTTCCATGCATAGTCACTACATAGGCACCTATAAATACTACTACATCCCGTATCCCGACCTGCTTCTTACGATATTGTCCAGAATAAAAGTGAAAAAATGTCTCTAGAGGCTAGTTTCACAAGAAATTGGAGACTGAAGAAGCAGGAAAGAACTCAAAATTGTAAATAGTTAAGCAGGCTCTTCAACCATCAAGGAGGGTTTGGTGGAAGTCGGGGGGGTTGATAGACTGAGCAGATCAACAGAGGCAGTGAAACAAACGGGTGCAGCAACAGGTTGGAATTAGATCAACACTATCAAGCAGGCTAGATACAAGCTGCGATACCTGAGAGAGATGGATGACGAGGTTGTGTGTGTGTGCAGGAATGGAGGCTGTGTGTTTGTGTGCTGTTAATCTATTTATTTACCTGTCATTGGCTGCGATAATGGTTTTCATCCCTTCTCTCTGTGTCTCTCTGTCTCAGTCTATCTTGTGATGGGGGATTGGTTTTTCGTGTGTCGCTTGATAATCACACCTGTATTTTCTCATCAGACTCTAATCAGACCAATTACACGCGTGACGGAGAGCGTGGGCATGTTGATGCAGGGGAGCGATAAAGACACACACATACACACTCACAGACACTTCGGGATTAAGCTCTCTGTCTTGGGGTATCTACGTCCCTTATCGGGGACAACCATCCCTGACGTGGCCTGTCAGCAGGCATGCCAAAAGTGTCGCTCACGCACAAACACATGTGAACACACTTAGGTCATGTATGCAATGCACCAAATATAATCTATGTCTAAAAAAGAAAGCATGCCTCTCCTGTCTTGCTATTTACCCTTTGATCCCTCTCTGCCCTCGTGATGAAGAATACTCTGAAAGTCTGTCTATTCTCGTACTTGTTTCGATAGGCATATGACGGCTTCGCCAGCCTCGGCATCTCTCGTCTCCTGGAGCCATCCGATATGGTGCTGCTGGCCATTCCTGACAAACTAACAGTAATGACCTACCTGTATCAGATCCGGGCCCATTTCTCTGGCGAGGAGCTCAATGTGGTGCAGATAGAGGCCAACAGCAACCGCAGCACCTACAAAGTGGGTGACTTTGAGACTGATACAAATGCATCAATAGACCAGGACAAGTTCTACGCTGAACTGAACGATGTGCAGCCCCGCAAGGCTGACTCTCAGGCTGCTGTTTCTGCCAGCGGTGCCACCACTGAATCTAACAGAGCTGAAGCTACTGAGGGAGAGGTGAAGGAGCAAGGTTTGAAGGCCGAGGTAGGAGCAGTTCCTGCCGGCTTGTCGGCTCCAGCGCTGTCACAGTCTCCTGTCCCATCACCGCGCACAGTATTAGTTTCCACAGCAACAAACTCAACCTATGTGATGGCGTCAGGCTCTGAGGACAGGGGAAATCTACAGAAAGCAAACACTTTAGACCTTAGTGAGTTACCACAGCGAGTGGAGAAGGAGATGGAGAAGGAAAGGCAAAACAAGGATGAACCAGGAGAGCAGAGAGGAGAGGGAGCTCCCGAACCAGCGTCCCCTACCAGGAGAGGAGCTTCTTTGTCCCACTCGCCACCCCATCCGAAACTGGGCTTCTCCTACAACAGGGATGCCGACCTCATCAAGAAAAAGAGAGCAAGCCTGCGTCACTCAGAGTCTGAGCCTGCATCAGATACCAGCTCTTCTCCAGTGAATCATACAGATGCCCCAGTCAAACAGGTAAATACACATGAAGCCTAACATTTCATACTTTATTAACACACTGTAGTGTTTCCTGAATATTGTAAATATATGACGTTGGAAAGTAATCAACTAAATTACACACGTCTAATCTTGAGTCCAGTGCCTTAAAACACCTCTGGGTCAGTCTGTATGATCTGGACTAATTCTAACTGCTTAATGCAGGTATTAAGATTCTGACAGCGTTTGCGTGCAGATTCCTGCTTTCCCCCCCTAAATGAATTGTTCTCCTTTTTACCCTTGCACCCTGAATTTGATTGAAACTTTCACAGCTACATCAGTCAAAGACAGAGGATACGGTGAACATTCATTCCCTTCTGACGCTCGCTAAGCTTCAAATCCCGACCTCGTTGATGCGGTTGCAGAGATGACCGTACTGAAACTCTCCCGTTCTGCATTAGATGTTGTCGTCACCTGTCTTGTAGCCGAGAACCAGACGCGTCTGGGCCGAGCCTTTAACACGTGGCAACTATGAAAGGCACTGGGAGAACCCCCTGCTTTGACATTTCATTATATTTTTCATTATATTTCTCATCCCTGCAGTTGATGGCAGTCGCACCGTGACTGCTCAGGCGTGGCGATGCTTTGCACCGAGCACACATCATCTCGTCTCTCACACACGCCCTGTGACACACACCTGTATGTGCGTGTGTGTGCACAATCACACTGAATGCACTGCTGTCTGCGTTGGTTAACCCCAGATTACTGCTTGTTGTTTACAAGTCGAAAGGTCACAGGGCAAGCGGGGGGCTATGACAGTCATGACATCCCATTTTGATCTGCTTTTTTTCTAGTTAGCAGGATGTATCCAGGCCAGATTTGGGGTAATATTGCTAAATGTAAAAGCTCTGCTTACAATACACCCAGAATTACCTTGCAGATAAAATTCTGACTTCAGTGTGTGGTTTGCTTATTTGCCAAAGCCGTCATGCTCTCCACACAAATGGACCCAGACAGGGCTATGAGCCCAGGTTCCCCTCAGAGGGTGCATATCATAGGGAACATACCTGCTCCTGGATTAGAAAAGCATAGGGCTGAATTAATCCCCCACTTGCTGCATGTCCAGTAAAGAAATGTGAAAGCCGCTTGTGTGATAGTTTGTGGCTGAAGATAAACACATCACTCACCATTCTAAACAACATTATTGGTTTCATTCTTCTGGGGAAATACTTTGAAAATTAGGAGTGCCTCTTTGACCACTGCAGTCATGATTTATTTTCTTTTTAGGAGCCACGACCTGCCCCTGTGTCGAGCCCCCCAGCTGAGAAGGTGAGTATGGTTTAAAAGAAATGGATTGTTTTAGTACTTCAGACCTTGATTAGCAAGTGGTAAATTATAAGGAGAAGCTACCTTACATAGGAAGTGGCCGCAGTCTTGAGCAATAGGGCAAAAACACGGACAGTTGGAGATCCAAAGGCTGAGTAGTCATTCATAGGTGGTGTATTTTGATATAAATTCTCAGTGAACAAGTCCAGGCAGTCACAAAAACTAAGCAGGCCGGTTGGCATCAGCATGGACCTTTGCGCTTCCCAGGTACACCCTATCGGACTCGTGGATGCGAAAAGTATACAACCTCCTTTTATCTTCTGTGACTTATTACCCAGGTGATATACTAGGTATGGATACCAAAGATGATTTCATTTTTATATCATTAAGAAGTTAGATTTAAAAAAGTTATATATTATTATACAACATTCCAGGATTTTTTCCTCTATCTGGCATGCATGTTTATGCCGCATTGGCAACCACCAATTGCTAGAGAAAAATGGTTACTCCACATTTGGTTGGGGAGTGATTGCTGGAGGCTGTCGCACTTCAAACCTCCTTGCAGTTTGTTTGGTCACTAGCGGTTTATGACAGTTGTCACTGGTTTGCCTGGAAGACACTGAGTTTTAAAACGTAAAAAGCTGAAGTTGACCCATTTGAAACCTGTTATTTTAGTGGTAATGCACAACAAAGTTTCACTACCGCTCTGTGGTAGAGACAAGTTTGCAGACAAGTCAACATCCTCCATGAAAATCAAAGTTGACCACGTCAATCTGCTAGCATCCAAAGAAATCACAAGGTTTTTAGTGCAACACCCTCTTTGCAACCAGTTTCAACTATGGGGTACCTGCAACCTCCAGCAATCACTCACCAATCAACCCTGGAGGTTGCCAGGGGGTCACCGGTCTGTAGGTCTGTGTGATTGAGGTCTGGCTGAAGAAAGCTTACCTTATTTATGGCACAATGTGATTACAATGAACCCTTCCCAGTCTCGGTTACAATAGCTTTAGTTTTCTGAGTGTATCCTCTCTCTTTTCACATGTGTAGAAGGTCCTCTCTCGTCAGGAGGAGTTGAAGGAGAGAGCCAGACTCCTCTTGGAGCAGGCCCGCAGAGATGCTGCGATGAAAGCCGGCAGCAAATACATCTCCAACTCAGCTGCAGCTGCACCAAACAGAGCTGCAGGTGTCTGTGATGTAAGTCCAAGCCTTCCTTTTTGTCTGTGTGGGATTGGAGGTGTTGGTATTGTCCACTTAAAAGAATGAAATTGTCTCTGTTCTACCATCATTCTGGTAGAGTTTGATCTTCGTTTCATCTGCCCAAAGAATGTTTTTCCAGAACTGTGCTGGGTTTTTTTTTAATGTTTCTTTTTTACTGTAGTCCAATCTGGACTGTCTGGTCTTGAGGCGTATGACTGGCTTGCACCTTGCAGTGAACCCTCTGTATTTACTTTCATGCAGTCTTCTTTTTATGGTAGACTTGGATATCGATAAATCTTCTTCCTGGAGAGTGTTGTTCACTTGGTTGGCTGTTGTGAAGGGTTTCCCTTCACCATGGAAATGATTCTGTGATCATCCACCACTGTTGTTTTCCATGGACGTCCAGATCTTTTTGCGTTGCTGAGTTCACCAGTGCTTTATTTCTTTCTCAGGACATACCAAACTGTCACTCCTAATATTTTAGCAGTTTCTCAGATGGGTTTTTTTCTGTTTTCGCAGCTGAAGAATAGCCTGTTTCTCCTGCATGGAGAGCAAAATCTTCCAAATGCAAGCACCTCAGGCAAAATCAACTCCAGACTTTTTTTCTGCTTAACTGATAAGGACATAACGAAGGAGTTTCGTCACTTGCACATGAAATAACCCTTGAGTCAAAGTACTCCAATTAAAAACTGAGCGGCACAACTCCTAAGAAAGCTGCATATCTACACATTAGGCCATGACCATTATGTAACCATTACTGGAATATGTTTAAGTGAACAGGTAAAAAAAAAAAAAACTTGTGTCAGTGTCCAAATATATATGGACATAACTGTAGATGTGGACATTGTATCTAAGAAAGGCCCTGAGAGTCAGGATGAGGTCTGTGTAGTGAGTAAAAGCTTGCTTGACTATGAGTTTTGTTGTATGGCATCACGTCAGTGTGCAGGGAAAGCTAATAGGGTGACCCCACACCTCCTCAACTTATTCAGCGCCCTCATGTCACTTCCACAGTCTCTCTATTTGCTGCTCACTGCGCTTCCAACATGCTGGAAAAGCTTGTCCAAACTGTCTCATCCTGTGGCAGCCCACTTTGGTGAACACTTTAAGGAAAGGCTTTAAGAAGGAGAGAAGACTTTTCCTTATTAACTTCTGCTGAGACTCACTTACACTCTGGTGTGTGGAACATGTCAGTGTGGAAAGCTCAAATATGGATGGACTTCTTCGCTCTCTCCTCTCACCATAAACATGCCTCCCCCTCTCTCGTGCTCTCTCTCTCTCTGCTCAGACTCTCTCTTTGGTCATCTTGACTCTGCACAATTTTTATGACATCCCCCACCAATTTTGCTGCCCCCTCACTTTCCCCTGAACACTGAGTAAATGTTGTACACAAACACCTGTCAGCAAAAGTACATTCATGGTAAAAAAAAAAAAAAAAGAAAAAAAGAAGGGGGCCAGAAATCGCTGTAGCGAAGCAAACTAGACTAGAGAAGATGCGAGTGAAATTGCCAGCTCTGAACTGAGCACGCTCCACTGAACATAATATACTGAGAGGAAGGGGCACACTGATGAACCAGGAGTTACCCTGGGAAAGCACTGTGGTCAAATCCTCCGTTATGTTTCCAAATATTTCAGTGAAAAGGAAAGGGGGAGGGTTAAGAAAAAAATATGGTCTTGTGAGAATTGTGACGACAAGGGATTTGAGGGTAAAATGAAATAAATACCTTTTGGTAATGAAATATCTAAAAGGCAGCAGCCGCATGCCCCCTGCGTTTGCTCCCTGAGTCCTTAAAGAGAAATATGCCCTTGAATTAGATGTTTTTAAAGTGTGTATGTGTGTGTTGTCGGTGTTTGTTCATGTTTGTGCGCCGGCCACAGGAATAACCAGTCCGGCATAATCTGAGGAAATAAACGAGGACCTTCCAAGGACTGGGAGCCGTTAAAAGTCTTCAGTGGAAGAAAGCAAATTAAAAGAGTTTTTCAAAGCTGTTGCAGTGCTGATATATTTCCTTAGCCACAAAAAAAGGTCCTCTTCTGTCCCTTGTTGTCTGGCAAGATGGCGGACTTCACTTAGATTAGCTCCTTAAAGTAGGCAAACCCACCCCTCCACTCTTTCTCTCTCTCTCCTCCTTATTTCCTCACTCATTTCCAAGGACAATTGGTTAATAACCCCTAAACACACACTTACTTACACATACACACACACACACACACACTCCTCTGCATAAAAAAGGAAGGGAAGCAAGAGGGGTGGGAGGGAGATATTGAATTGTTTACACTTTTTTTAATAGAAAACATTGATCAAAGGAATACGACTGGCCTCGAGGCCAATGTGCTGATAATTGTTAGTGATTCAGATTAGATTACTTGATGTCTTGTTTTGATTAGCATGAGTGTGTGTGTGTGTCTGTGTTATCAGCTGGAGAGGCCCAAGCTTTTCCCATTTAACTCTCCATCTGTCTAAGTAGGTGCTTTGCGGTTTAGCATGCATAGGGTATAATTTAATTCAGCTAAAGCAGGCTTCATTCTTCAAGGGAAACGGCTAATGTGAGGGAAAGGTGGGGCTTACATTAGCTGCTTTAGCGTATAGCTTTCAAAGCACAAACGACAAATGAGTCATCAGGTGTCATCTTTTAACTGAAATCATGTCGTACACAAAGCTTGCAGGTGTCAGGATTTTTATATGATAATGCAGTTCTCTTTTATCGAAAAACTGATACTCCAGAAAACTCATAGTTTTCGTGCTAATTATATTACAGTGGTCAGCAGTATTTCAGGAGTTGTCTTCAGAGATAAAATGAGCTATTACTTATTTTGTCTGCCAGCTCTAAAGAAGTTAGAAGTTAAAATGGCTCATTTTTCTGGCATTTTTAAGAGATTTAATTTTTCCTGTTTTTACACTTGTGCACTGATTAGATCAAAAAAAGATCAACTCAGGTGAGATTTAATATAGAAATTTAAAAAATCAAAGCTTATTCAGCTGCCGGGCCAGGCCAAAATGTTGTCTAAGTGGGATGGTGTGAAACAGTGATTAATTGGAGATTGATTACCCAGAGTGTTATGACATACATCTCAAATGTTAAAAAAAGCAATCGTTATTTACTATTTAACACTGTAGGACATCCCTTTGAGTGTTGAGACTAGTTATGCTACTTAGGTTTTAGGTTTGAAACCTTCTTTGCCCACAGCTAACACTAAATGTGACAGAAACCTCAGAAACATATACAAACTGATACATGATCGAGCTTAGCTATACTAGCTATCTGTACTAAAATCAGGTCTTCATCTATTCATGTGAACATAGCACGAACAATATGTTAGACACTTGTTTGCTGTGTGTGTGTGTGTGTGTGTGTGTAGCCCTGTTCTCCTGACCTATGCTCTCCCTCCTGCCATCCCTAATTGTAGCCCACAGTCACTGCTTCTTTCATCTAAGGTCACAGGTTCCTCTCTTTCTCCCTGCCTTCTCAGTCTTTCTCTCTCCTCCTCACTCCATTTCTCTTTCATGTCAGATTTTTGACTTCGAGCCGCAGTTCTTTCCTTTCCCATCTCTTTATTTATCTTTGTCTGTCCTCTCTCTGTAGTCTTTGATGGATGACCAGTACTACTAATTGTTCTGTGCTCACCAGCGTTGGCCTCACCACCTCCTCCTCCTCCTCATAGGTGGCCTTCACAACATATCAGTAGTCAGTGGTGCAGATGTCTTGTAATGTTGTAATGTCACCACCCCCTACCTAAGCAGTAGCCAAATGGGTAATTAATGAGCTTTCCTAAAAATATCTAGACTTTTTTTTTTGTCCTTAGTCCTGACATCCCCAGTTTTGGTTTTAGTCTTTCTTTTGCTCTTTGGACTTTCCCACTGTTATTCTTTTAATAGGAGGTGTGTGTGTGCGTGTCTCTGTGTGTCTGTTCACTTCAGGTCTTCTCATCCATTAGCAGATGAGAACAGTAATTTCACACCGGCCTGGCCAGGCTAATTATCAGGATCCACACTTGGTTTGGGGAGAAGTGTGTGTGCATGTGGACCCACAAAGCAAAATGTGCAACTATGTGTGTTCCTTTGCAGAAAACTGTAAAGCAGAAATTTGTGTGTGTGTATGTGTGCAGATTTGTAGCACCTGTGCATATTTGAACGTCTTTTTTTTATTTTGTGTGTGTGTCTTTGAGTATGTGTGTGCTTTGCTTGTGGAATGCGTTCAAGAGTGCACGCAAATGCCTCGGTGTTTTCCAGGTAAGAGAGTTTCCCTGCTCACTGACTCGTTGTGATTCCTATAATTGGGTCCCGTTTGATTTTTGCCGACCAGCACCCCAACCACCTCTTCCTCCCCTTCTTCCCCCATCACCCCCCTTATTCCTCTTCCTTCTCCTCAGCAGTGGAGAGGACTCCTGGGTCTCTGCTGTTGTGACCTGTGGGTGTTGTCACTCACTCCCATCTGCTGTCGGTCCTCTCATTCTGACTCGTCTGTCATGTCCTCCTTTCTTTCTGAATTAGATTTCATTCTGTTTTAAATTGGGGACCAAAACAAAGCCCTCTGGCTGTACTGTGATGTATGTAAAAAAAATTAAATTATTATTATTCAAAAAAAAAAAAAACAATAAAGAAAATATCCAAGAGCCATTAAAAAGGTTACCTTTTACCCAAGGCCCTCTGACTGAACCTTGTGTAAAAGTCCCTTTAAAAGAAAAACACATTGTGTGTTATTTATTTAATTTCATATATTTCATTATAACAGGTTAGTATTTTGTCTTTCCTTCCTTCCTCCATTTATTTTGACATTTGGGACCAAAACAAAGCCTTCTGGCTGAACATTGTCATTTTTAGGAACCTTTTCAAATGCCGAACATGGAAGTTGTGTGTGAGTTCTTCCTGTTTTATTTTGGAAGCATTACATTCAGGTCCTCACCAGTGGCCCATTATAACAGGTCCCTTCTTTTTACATAAACTAAAATAATCCTGAAAAAATAATCTTAGTCCTCACATATTCTGATTTCGGTTTTGT